TTTAGTTTTATTTTATTTTGTGTTATCGTATTCTAACATTTTATCTAGTCTACTACATTAACAATATTTCACTCATCCTATGTTTCCAACATATTATTATCACATATTCACATTTCCGAATGTACTTTATTTTCCAATCCTCTATTTCACAAGTGTCTACTGAGCTTTAGGTTGACCTATATTTACTTAGTTATTCATTCATATACCTAATCAATTGTGATTCATAATCCCATGCACCAATATTATCGCACTACAGTATTTCCACTCACTGTCAAGCTCTAACATATATATATATACGATTGTACAGCTATGAAAATGAAATCTTCGAAAAGACAATTTTCTTTGCTGAATTCTTTTTTACATTATATATATATAATCCACTAATACTTAGAATCGTCGCTAATTAAAGTGTGTTGTATTTGACTGGAAGTATTTCTTACCAATCATTGCTTGAGTATAAGCCTTCAGTATGACTCAATTCATCTCAGTCAGAGTGAACTGAACATTTCTGAGGGATAAACTCATAAATGCGAAAGTATGTTGGTGAAAGCTCGGCTGTAGGTAATTCCAGTCCTTAGAATATTAGCGATTCGGCAACCTTGCTCTGTACAACAAACGTTATTTTCTTATTTTTTTAGTACCAAGTTAACTAAAATGTTCACTAAGACACCTGAAGAGAATAAGTTTGAAACAAAATATCACACATGCAACTAATAGCTTGTAAAAGCTTTAAAAAGATATGAAATGTCTTAAAGTTACTAAATTAAACTTTCATTTAAATTTTAAAAGGATACGACCAAATGCCGGAAAATGTAAAACAAGGCAGTTGTTAATATGTTACTTAGTTTCACTTCTCAGTCTTCTGCTTTCATACAAATAAATACAGGTGAATTAAAATAACACAAATCCCACATTAGATAACATGCTATTTTTGCCACTCGTGAACTAAAATTCTTTTCAGCAGAATTATCAATAAGTGTTCTAACAGAATATAATGAACAACTTACAAAAATGTGTTTTGTCTTTATTACATATTTAGTGAATGAGAAAATACGATAAATAGCCTTAGGCGAAAAAGAAAATCAGTTGAGAAGAAGAAAAACAAACGAAAAAATAGCAGAATGAGAAAAAAATGAGAAGATATCCTAGAACGTGCGTGACACAGAAGATTATTTCTACTTTTACATCATTTTCCCTTCTACATTACTAGCATTTCTCTTGTAATAAATTAGAGGAAGACAATGGCGACTCTCTTTTACAATCTATAAATTTGTTTATATATATAAGCTTGTTAGATCTCCTACTGTGTTGGCATGGTGCAATTTGAGATTTTTCTACTCTAAGATAATACTTATCAATTCTTTCCATCTTGTTACATACTATTGTTATTTTTTAACTTTGAGGAAAAATGAGGGAAAACGGTTAAGTGTTATGCTCACTAATAATATGGATTTTCTTCATGAGTATTCATGATAATTGTTAAAAACACGTCTGAGTAACTTTTTACGTATGTGAATAATGTTCATTCCTTGTATTTTCTGAATAGTAGGCAAACTTTAATAAGGTATCGGAAGTGGCTCTCTTTAATTGCCTTTTCTGACTCTTTCCTACAGACATTTCAGTGATGGAATACACGGTCATTAAATTAATATTTATATCAGGATTTCATCACAAAATGACATCAGTAAGAGAACCATTGGAAAACCTGGAAGGACTAGACAGCTGTTTCGTCCTAGTTGGGGACTCGTCGGCGGCACTCACCAAGTGAGGTCCGAACCGATGACCTTATGGTCACAAGGCGAGCTCGTAGACCATAAGGCCACTGGGACACAACCCAATGGTTCATGAATTCCAACTTCTGCCAATTCACAATATGAAGGGACCAGTGGGATACAGCAGGTCGCGTGTGAGCACAAATACTCACTAATGACATTCACTAGTGGTCGTGTCGTATCGTGAATTGGCTGAAGTTTGAGTTCATGAACCACTGGATCGGATCCCAGTGGTCTAATGGTCTACGAGCTCGCTAGCCTTGTAACCAGAAGGTCCTGGGTTTGAATCCTGTTGGCGGGTGTGTACTGACGACGAGCCCCAAGCTAGGACGAAACAACTGTTCAATAACCTGAGGTTTTCCGATGGTTCTGTAACCGGAGTCAGCTCATGATGAAGTCCTGAAACCGATCAGATCCCTGCAAACCAACAATTTAATATTTATATATTGTTAAATGATGATAAATTGTGATCCCACATTAAGATTAATTTAGTTGCGAATGTGATTTACGTGCAGGTTCTATGCTTTTGTGACATACACAGAACCTGTATAAAATTAATGGCTTCAAAATGGCATTATTTAACGATTTACTTATATTTTATTATATGGTACTTACAATTATTTAACTCCAACTCTTAAGTCAAAAATATGGTAATTAAAAGAATTGGAGCTCATAGTTTTTTCTATATATCTGGGTTGACTGAAAAAATAATACCTTCTTGAAGGAAATAAATACAAACTGTCACCGCATTCGTGAAGCTTTTACATTTAGTCTTCTGTCTAAACAGATTTCAAAAAAGTAGCAGTCATCTTTAATTCGATTCAAAGATTAGAAAACCCTACACTGATTTATCTAATATATTCACATTAGTTTTCAGGACAAATGTACTGATGTAATTATTGATTAGTGATGACAGGATGATTACTGAAGCGTGCCTAATGGTATTATCTTTTCATTATCATAATATACAGTGAGGAAATTCATGAAAAAAGAGTAGTTTGATGAAGTGCTGACAGCGTGTTTATTCACTCGAGAATTTCGAATGATTTGTAACTCATCAGAATGTTGATATGGACACCTGTCTTATCTATATATAGTTATCTTGATGAATTTCTAAATAGAAACAAGTAATACGGGAAACTATTTGTTTTAAGGTGTCTTTTACTATCAACGTTTACTAGTAAACTGTATATTTAAAACATAAAATTATCCTAATGAATAGATATGAGAAATGAACTTTAAAAGATTACCTAAGGCGTTATACAGCACAAAAGAATTATTCTCTTCAATATGCGTAATAAATGCAACTGGAAAATAAATGTTTAAGCCATTTAGCTTTCGGCCATATCTTTATTTATGTAATAAATCTGTTAGTTAGGGATGACAAAAGTGCATTAATTTCTGAAACTATATCAAATTCATTAAAATGGTGAGTGGTTAGAGGTAGATGATATATTTGTGTCTCGCCTGTTAATTTAAAGATGTAATTTTATCAACTGCTTCATCCTTTGTGTTTCAAAATAACACATTATTACTACTTGATGTCTATAGAGGAAACTATGTCGGACGTGTGATGACTGAGGACTTTAGTTTCAACTTGATGATATTAACTTGGAAGTATCATTACAGATTACATTAACTTCAAATTGAGGCATGCGCTAAAGATGTTGCCCAGTAAGGTAAAGAAAGATTCGCAAATAAACCATCCAGCTAAGACAACACAAATACATCAAAAACACTAACAGTAGCATTTTTACATTGGAAATTACGGCAGAGTGATAACCGAGTCCTGCTTGGTTAGAAATTCTGTTTTTTGGCATGTGTTACCAACATAGAACTATAAGAATTCAACGTCTCATAGTGGAGTCTAACACATCTGTTATCTTGTGCTAACTTCAAGTACATATTTACCAAAATAAGATTACAACTGATTTTTTGTGGAATTGAACTAATCTGTCCTGAGTGAGTGAATGTATTTCAGTGGGTGCATAACAAACGTTTTCACTACTTCTTGGTTAACGCTGCATTAATTAAAGTTATAATAGAGCTTCCGTATCTTTCATGAAAAATATCATCGTTCTGACTGAGTAGACTGCGACGTAATTTACCTGTTGCCTCACTCCTCATTAAAAACACTGTAAAAAGAAAACTATTTCATAAGTATGAATGACAGTAATAGAAAGCTTGTTTTTATATTTGTAATTGCAGACTAGTTAGTAAAGCAATGCCAATTTCACTTTACTCGCTTATGTTTGTTTTAACTCTCTGAATAACAAATGACTTTGTTTTCTCTAATGATAGTATTAATTCATAATACTCTAGTCAATAATAAGCTATACAAAGTAAAAAGAAACGTCTGTCAGTTAAACATGAGTACATATAATTAGTTTTATTTTACGATTGACAGATTTGTTGTCTGTTATACAACAAGTAATGACAATAAAACATAATCAAAAAACAAACACAATAACTAGACTTCCTGATGATATATCATCTTCATTCAATTAGTTACCATGACTACTCAAAAGCAAAAAGTGGTTATCGATGAAATCTAAAGCTTTATTTCAAAAAGCAGCATTTCTAAAATCTATGGTTTATCTATATTAACAAGGCTGAAGGTAATACTTTGAAGAGATTTCTACTAACCTATTTGATAGATCGACTCGACTAGAGAGGGGAAAAAGTAAACTGACCAATTAGAATTAGAAAATTATCACTATCAATGCAAAAATAAGTATAGATTTGGGCAACTTCGAGCAACCACTGCCTGGTATATGAAACGGGTTCAATAAAGCTCAGGTTATATTGTGTATATCCCCATGTGGAATGTATCTTTATTTAGCTCACCTGTACTAAATGATTTTTCTGCACCCTACAGTTCTTTAACTCATTAGACCTAATTATGCTAATATATCTCAAGAGTTGGATACTGAGATTGGATTTCGAGACACTACAGACTTTGGATGCAAGTAAATTCAGCTGAAAAAATCTTACTAGCATTTTCAAACTGCGTTATGACCTGAAATAATGCAAAACACTTTACCCTTTCATTTAAATATTTTATGAAACAAAAGCCGTATGGCTTGAATTTAAATATTATATGGCATTTTGCATTACTATCGGTTTCTTAAGCCGCAAAACTTTAAATACTCTTTGGTTTTACAATTCATCAAAAAGCCTAATACATTAATGAATGAATTCAAATAAAATATATCATATTCTGCTTACCAAGCATAATTTCTTTATTACAGTCATGTCTAGCGATTCCAAAAGCAGGCTGTCCACCGGGATCACAACGATCCACTGTAAATTCCCAATAATGCACACCTCTAGATAGACCAGTGGAACCAAGAATCACCCTGTCTTCAGATAATTGACTTGTCACAGTACGGTTTCCATTTGTAAGCAAAATGTCTGGTACAGCAGTGGTAATATCCAAATGAAACCAGGTAACTAGGAAAAAAGAAGCAAGAAATGAAATCACTCAGGAAAGTTTAATAATAAGGAATAATTTGTCAGTACGAAATTGAAATTCACTTTTATGTATGGTTGTCATTATGTCCGGTTAACATAAATAGCTTGGAATTGTGTAACAAACTTAATTCTTTCAATAAAGATTATCGTAACATTTTGAAAAGTGGAAAACGGCGCTTCATAATTCTGCTCGTTTAACATGCAGAGCCACTGTATTCGATTTTAGGACAATCATTCTGATATTTAAGAAATGAGAATACCTTAAAGGATATTAAGAGTTTTAATTTTATTGCATTCTTTGGAATGATGGCTTAATTGAAAAGATTTCAATTGTATTACTACGCATTTTCCTCTCAAAAAAGTAACACCTGAGTTGTAGGGAATGTCAGAATACACGAAAGATTGATTATTTTAGTTAACCACAAAACTGGAATGATGCTATATTTTAAATTTCCTAACAGAAGTTAAAATATTAAAATCTTCATCATAATGCACATGTTATCAAGATATCTTCTCAGCATTCTGTTGCATCCGTTTAAATATGATATTTTTAGTTTCAGACTACCGGTTTGACTAAAAGTGGATTGTGATCCATGCGTGTATAAAATATTTTTAAGATCCGCACTTTGAAATGGATAATCTAATTTCCTTTTAAATTTGGCGGTGATATTCTGGTCCAAAAAGGCAGTGAAAGCTTTGCAATTAAATTATCTATCTCAGAGAAGTCTCAAATCGCTTCAAGATATAGAAGTCCCTGACAGACGGATAGAATTCTAATTTAATATGTAGTTACACTGCAAGCACACCACCTAAGATGAGTAGTGCAATTAAAACAAATATGACCAAGAATCCTTATTTACATGGCAGACATTTCAAATTATAATTTACTGTAAATACAAATCTCTATTTTATATGCACCTTTCTAAACTGTATTGAAATCATCCGTCAAATACTTGAAAAATCTTTGATTTAATTGAGGAATAACCATTGGAACTTAAAACATAATACTCCTGAGATAGGTTTTATTTTCGAAATAATCACAATCCAATTTTATTTTATAGTGTCAGTTTAAAGAAAAAGTAAGACATACTAAAGGGGTTGATGCAAAGCCTTACTGAATGTATTTTATTCCAAGAAGAGTATGAAAGACAACATAAGTAGATCGTAATAACGTTTTCTTTACATACTACAACTGTTTGTTTCATCTAAATAATATAATAATAATAATCATAAAGAAAATTGTTTAGCATTGAAGTATAACTGGGAAATTTATAAATGACATTTCACAGGTGTGACTCATCATTTGTTTTTGTAATTCAGGAGGAAAGGTGGTTTGAAAATGTCAGATCATGTATTTATATAAATTCGCAATTTTATTTAGTCTCTTAGCCCAACATATTTTGATGGTCTATTGTTCTCTATAACATTATTTATTTAGTTTCATTTTGCAGTGCAATAAATAAAAAGTTTGATAAAAATGATGCAGAAGAAAATGACTTCGCAATATTCCTGTAAAAAAAACAACACTGAATCAGTAAACAATTCATGTAGTTTACATTCAAATGGGTGTTTCTGAAATGTGATGGAATAGTTGCGAGAAGGATCAAAGGTTACCACCGGTGTGTGACTCAATGCGCTAGACAAAATACAGAAATAATATGTCTCAGGTGTACAAAAAAGAAGTAAACCGAGTCACTATGATCATCTTAGTCTAACGTTATTATTATATTATCTTGAAAGAATTTTTTATTCCGATTGTGTGGCTAGAAAAAACAATTCGTTATCAGTTCATCTATATACCTCTCAACAATTAATATAAGTCAATATTAGTGGCGACGTTTTAAAAGTGTCCTAATGTTACCATCTGCGGACTTAATATCACAAAAACAGGTACGCTGATACCAGCGCTTATATTAACAACAGTGAGATATTGTGTCTTAAATAGAAAAAACTGAATTTTATTTTCATGTGAGTAATATCCCTGTTTCTAAAAGTTCCTCTTCAAGTGATCCCTTTTCTGACAAGGCTAAGTATCTCAATTTTATGTATTTTTAGAATACTTAAGATTACTGTTATTCCCTCTGACTTCTGGTGGAACATAAGGCTTCAGTGGTACATCTCTGTTTCATCATGCTTTCTGTAGTCTTTTTCATCCGGCTCCACGATTGCCCATTATCATACATATTCTCCTCACACGACTTTCTCTATGTCACCTTCGGACACCCCACTCGTTATTTTTCATTTGAGTTCCACTCTAGAACCTGTAGTATGATATCGTCCGACAGTCTCCTCAGCGCGTGTCTATCTATCTCCATTTTCTTCGGCATATTTGTTAGGCAATAGGTTGCACTGCTGCCAGAGTCCCTTTCTGATGATGCATTCCAACCGACCATATGACCTAATCTTCAGTATGAAAAGTGTGCAGTGGAGGTGGATGTTAGTAAAAGTCTGCAGTATGCTGTTGAGAATGCTTTTGGGGACACACCTAGTGTCTGGACCATATAAAAGTCCTTAAGTGACACTGGTGTTGAAAATCCGAATCTTATTTCTTATCCTTAGTGTAGTAGACTCCCATAGCGATTTCAGATTAATGAAGATCTGCCTTACTTTTCTGATGCTGTCTTCAAAATCCTCATCTGTTCTGCCTGCAGTTGAAACTGTACTACACAAATAAGTGAAAGAAGTGATGTCCTTCAAATTACTGATGCTTACTGTTGTTTGTTAAGTATCTTCACCACCTTTGTCTTATACATGTTCAACTCAAGTCCTACCTACCTTTGCCTCTTATTCTTCCAGTTTGTTGGTTTTCACCATTAGATCCTTGAGTATGTGTGAAATTAAACAATAATCATCCGCGAAGTACAAGTCTTCTAGATACATCTTGTTGGCGCAGTCTATTACTTTCTTCTCGCTCTTCACAGTCCACCATGTGATCCACTCCACCACAATCAGGAATTTTGTTGGTGATAGTATTTCTTGAATAGCGTACTATATTTTGCTAGAAAGGCATTTCCATAATTTGAGCTATTTTCATAATTAACAGACACCAAACATGGGACAGGTGAAAACGTAATAGCCGCACAAAACGTTTTGTACAAATTAAAATCTCAACAGTTTGCTGTTATGATAATAGAGAAGAGTGATTTCATGGAAATGATGTAATAATCTTTGAGTTTAGATTGTGATAAAACTGTCCTAAAACTGGGAGATTAGACTTTATGTGATAATTATGTGTCTAACAGTATTTTATTTATCGCTAAAAATCATAGGAGTATGCATATTTGTCCTAGGAGTTATGACTTCTTTGTGAGAATACATTTGGTGCTTATGGAAAAATTATCCCCTTACTTATGCTGTGAATCAGAATAAAAGTTATGAATTCTATGTATTATATAATGGAATATCTTTGACTTTCCAAATTGGTTTTGGAAGGGGGGTAAAACTACCATTGTCATGAAGAATGTAGCAGTCATAGTAGAACAATGTTTTTGAAGTATAAACTTTGGCACTGACATATTTTAAATAAAACACATTAATAAATGACAACTATAAGGGTGTCCGTGGTTCAGCTGTAGAACGCTCGTCAACCATGCACATGGTTCGGGGTTCAATCCCGGGTCGACACACTCCTAAACCTCGCTAAGCTGATAGTATGGCCGGTAAAGAGGAAAGTTTGGACGTGGGCTAGCAAACGCACTCCATAAAAATAAAACCAATACTACTGAAACTTCAAAGCTCCAGCATGAAGCCCTATGTTCCACTCCGAACTTATAGGGATAAATTTATTTTTTCACTTAATTTAAATAAGGAAAAAATGAGATGACCATCGTCTTCGTTTAAAAGCGCAATTATTTGTAACTGTGTTGTGAGAATGACTTTCATGAAGTGATTGATAACAGTCGGTAATTTGATAAATTACCAGGTTGAATCCAGAAATATGAAATTTTATTCAAAGAAAAAGTAGAAAACGCGTCTTGGAGTTCATGTTATCTTTTTCTTACATGTAAGAAAGAAAAGTAAAATGAGTTTCAAACCCCCGTCCCATAAAATCATTAATAAAAGTCAGTGTGCATTTTCAGAGAATAATGCCTAAAATACCAATGGAAGCAGACAAAAACGTCACACTTATCTACATTCGATATGCTCCTAATGTTTATTTTATGCACCTCAAATTGATTAGTATATCTCTATAAAATTCTTTAAGGGATGAAAACGAAAGGTTCTCATTTTATCATTTAAGTAACTGTCGAGCATGGTTTTTCTAGTAATAAGGGTAATATTTATACCTCTGGTGGTTAACAGATCAGTCAAATATTATTTAAAGTTAAATTAATTTCCTGTGGTAAGAATGTAAAGATATACAATGTCTTTTTGTAAACAATTAAATCTATTTAAATTCGTTCAGTTTTAGAAATTCCTCATGATGTGAATAGGTTATGAAGGAGTAGCATACCTGGGTCTTTACCTCTCCCCTACAGAAATACACTTATGGCCTAAATTAATCATCTGAAAAATTTATGACGTCCACATTGAATAATGTAGCTTGTAATTATTAAGAAAACTTAACTTTTTTTTGATGTTCTAGACAACGAATGCCCAACAAACACAAAATATAAACCAGGATTTTTATATTGGTTTATTCACTACATCTCATAACACCAAACTGTTATGTATTTCTTCAACTTCCTGTGATATTATCTCGAAAAATCTCAGTTTTCTATGTATCCCTTGTGTTTTTATAAGCGATGATTTTGTATTCTAACTATTAAATATTTTTCTATTGGTATTTATATATAAGACCATATCATAACGCTAGAAAGTACCAGTTCTTGATGTATGCAATACAAAATCATAAAAATGTATAAGTTTACTCTACTTCATTCATTTTTACAGAAAATGAAATCAAATTACGAATAATTGCATTTATTATATGAAGCTGACCAAAAATTTTGTGTTATGATCTCCCTTTTGGAAAAATTATGTCTCATTCAAGTAAATAAATCCAATTTTAAGAAATTTCTAAATTGAAGAGAAGAGTGTGTGAAATATATTCTACTGTTAAAATGATGTCCATATTGTATTTGTGTGTTACCAAACTCTTCGTTATCTCTTTACCCCAATAAAAGGAAAGAGAGAGAGAAAGATGCAGAGTGTAGAAAGGAATATTTTCGTGACAATTACCCCGGAGAACGAAACGAGAAATGATTATTAACAAAATTATTGAACATTCACGAGAAAAATAACTTGGTGCATTGGAAACAAGCTTTATTGAATTACAAGGGGATCAAAGTATCTGGTTAGATGAAATGATTTACTATGCATGTGAAAGAAAAGTGAGAAGTGAAGTGTTTATTTAAAGCTTAATGCTTATACTGCTTGCTAATTAAATCTAAGTTCATAAGAAACGTTCATCATTAATTTGACAGAAGCAGAAACAATAGTTTTCAGGTTTAGTTATAGAGTATTTAACACTATTTCTAAGACATTTGTGATTACTGAAAATAATACTTGATTAATATGGTCAGTAAGTCGAAACAACGACAGAATCATAGAAATGTATTATTCATTTTACAAGTCAACATATCCAAGCTCCCACCTATAAATTATAAGCTAATTAAAGTCTTAAATTAGTTGAGACACTATCAGTGTAACAAACTTATTTATAAAAAGTAGAAGAAAGCCTACATTTAGTAAATAATTTTGAATTTTTATATTAGATATAACAGTCAGTAAGCGAAAAATTAATTCGGAGTTTAGATGCTTAAAATAATGCAATAAAATGTCATGAACTACTACAATGTTGATGAAAATTACTGACGGTATAACTCTAAGGTTTAAAATAACTCAAGTTACGTGGCTATCAACGATTGGATTTTTCACTGTTGATTAAGGTAATTATATGAAATATAGGTACTTCGAGTTAAATGAAAACTCTTGCATAAAGTATCATTCTGTTTATCTAACATAATACAAAACCAAAGTTCCTTGTGCTGAGTGCAGGAAATTTCCAAACTGGTTTCAGCTTGATGAAGGCGTATCTTGACTTTCCGATTTTCGCAAGCTTTGACATCTTCATCCGTTCCAACTGCCTTTAGTTGAAACGATGCTTCCTAGATAAATGAAGGAAGTAACCTCATTTAAATCTCTCCCGTTGATGATGATTGGTGCTGGTTGTTCTGGCTAAGTAGTTTTCAAATTCATTTCTTGTACTGAGTGTTTTGGAGAACTAAAAATACGAGATGTGCATTCCAAAGGATACTAAATGAAACTTTGCGTTGACTCATTTCCTTTTAAATTTCATTATCAAGTTAAGGATAATTCTGTTTACTAACTTAAATATTTGATTCCAATGTTTCGTATATATATATATATATGAGATGTCCTTGGTACTGTTTGTATGATTTAGTTATATTAAACAAATATATGATCGGACAAAGAGATAATACATTACTTGTTTGATATAATGTACTTGTCACGTGATTCATTGTTGTTTTCTATTACTGGCACAAAAGTTTTATAGCCCCATATCATTGAGAACTGATTTACTTTAATTATTTGATATTTTAATGTTTTTTTTGAGAACAATGCTTCCTGTATCAGTAATACATCCATTAACAAATTTAGAACGATTTAACTTCACTAGTGACCCATTGACGAAGAATTAAAGACAGTGCCAAGCCTACTGATATATATGGAAAGATGAAACTGATTTGTAGACAATGTAATTATCTATGAATAATTAGGTCAATCAAGATGATTTTGTTTGATAAGGTTAAACGTCAATTATTTGAAAGTATATCAGTGTCATTTAAAACTAGTAAATTTTATCCTAAGGTTTTCTATAACAAAATAAACTGAGTTAAATCAGCGAATCTCCTTTTGTAATTTTGGAAAGGAAGGTGGAAATACAACACAACTTTACAACTTTAAAGCAGTGCCGTAAGTGTTTGGTTTTTAAACTTTCAATAATGAGATGAATATAATACCTACTGACTTAAAGTTCTCAGGAAAAGTTTCTCTTCATATGTGAGCTCCTTTTATGAGTGTAAACAATAAAAGTAGCCAGCCTATATAAGTAAAAGTGAAAATATTAGTGACATTTATGTGAAGCATTCTATTCAGGCTTATTGTTTATCCAAATTATTGACATGAATACCCATTATTTATATAATGCTTGGTATACTATGGCAACATGCTTGCAGTGATTTCCTGCAGACAGACTTTTCTCTCACAAAGAGTACAAAGCTGCACAAAAAGGGTAATTTTATGCTAGTCTTAAATTAATTCCAATATGATGTAATTATTTTGAAATGAGATTGTTTTCATATGTACAAATTAAAAATTTTTTATTTAATTTATTTTCCGTATCTCTCCCTATGTTTCGCTTCCTTAGCCTTTTGTTAACGCTTCTTTAAATTCCTTTACACTCCAAGTGGAACATATGTCTTCAAGCTTTCAGCTTCAACGTTTCATTATCGGTGATGTTTTCATGGGTGGGTTGCTGGTCTTACGCCCAACCAACTCTGTTTCCTTGGCTTACTAGCTGATGGCTAGTGAACCAGGAGATGTTTATAGAGTGAGTCAGTTAGGAATCAAACTCATGTGGGTGGCAAGCGATCCTCATCTGTTTACAGTGGGAATATTCCTAAAAGCATTTATTTCCTTAATTGTATTTGTGTGATTGTCATTTTAACTTTACAATATACCCCATTATATCCCATAAAGATTAGTTTTATAACATTATAGGTTTAATAATTAATCATATTTCAGTACAAAATGTGTACAATGCAATGAATATTTACGGGTTTTGTAAAGGAAAATCTAATTTGAAGGATTATCTATGAAAGCGCATTTTTCAAAACATGTTTTATGAGAATCTTTAAATAAACCATGATTAAACATAAACAATGACACAATAAATAGCCTGAAAATTGAAGTTATTCAAATGCATAGACTTTTCTACCTACAGTGAATTAATGAAGTCACAAAGAAGTAAACTGCCTTCACATTTTATTTCTCTGAAATCCAAGTATTTAACAGCTATGGAAGCGAACTCTATATGAGAAACGTCTAACAAAATAGTTGCTACTTCATCAGTTAACTGGTAATAAAACTATATGTTTCAATCGTGCCTGTGTAGTATAATTTCACCTTACGTATTATTCAAAACATCTTTTGATTTAGAAAGGTAACATGATCCTCAGCTGGCATACAGCTTTTAAATAATTGTCTCAACCAGGGTGACTCGTGGTTACAAACATTATAATCGAATCTATAAATTCTCAAACAGTATTTAAAAGATGGTATAATTTTTGAAGAAAAGAATTTTAATATGAAACTTTGTGAGTTACATTTGTTTTGTTAGCTTGCTTGTTATTAGCTAACAAATGCCATTTTCTGAGTATATATTTCTTGTTATTCATATAAAATGTTGGAAATAACCAGGCGAATTAGGAGGGAAAGAATAATAAAATATGAAACATAAAACGGAAATGTAAGGCAGCTTGTCTGGATTATTAATCTGGCAAATCAAATTTTTAACATATAGCAGAAAAAAAATTAAATATTTGAAGGATAGGAGAATAATTAGCATGGATTCATTGTATTCAACAAAACAAGATTGTTCAACTTAATTGGATTGGATTTCTTCAAATAGTATCTGATAAGTTTATACGTACAATGTCTTGTTTGGCAAACGAATGAAACATGCCTGAATTCTTGTGTGGTTTAACAATGAAACAGATCTTTCTTATTTAAAAGTACCAGATAAAAATTCCTTTTCCTAATTTCTCTTTAAAGCTATACAGTATAAAATTTCATATATACAGCGTTAACTGACAACAAAAGTCAGTGGTTACAGTCAGCTGATCTCTCATAGTTAGTGAAACCACTGGATTATTACAACATAAATACTCGTCTATAAAAATGGTTGAATCACTTACAGTCTGACGTTTGTAAACATATTCGATCACTGTATTGGCTTTCTCCAGCTTGATTGTGCGCCTTGACACGTGCACGATATACAGAACGAAAGTGCAGTCCTTCTACAGTGCACATGGTTTCTGCTCCACGATAAACTTTCTAAATAAGAGAAAAAGTCAGAAATGAATAGCTTTTAGGCTTTTGGGAAATTTAAACATTTAGTAAAGATGTGTGGACTTAGACTAAAAATATAATTCAGTACAAATTATATAATCGATTACAAAAAGCAGCAGCCTGAGTGCGTTTTACTCATTTCTAAATAAAATCAATATGAAGCAGATGTGAAACCATAAGTATCTCTTTAAAAATATTCCAGAGTTGAGAAAGTTGAAAGGAAACTCCCTACATTGAAGCGGGTGTTTTAGGCTGAACAAAATACACTCAATAGTACTGAATATAAAAGTACTGAGTTCACTCATCAGTGGTAATCTAACTGACCTAAAGTCTCATTTAGTTATGTGGATGTCACCAGTTATACGCATCAACCTGAGTTTGTGAGAAAGATTTACATCACTGATATATGTGGCATATTCAAAACCTATAGAGTTTGAAAACCAATTTAGTGAAACAGACCACCCCGTAACCTCAAATTCCTAGACAGGATTTCCTGAGAGTTATGGAGCATGAATTATCAAACGAACTGAGGATATGAAAAAGTGGCTTGCCACTACTTCAAAGTTTTGATATTTTAACTGTTGTCAGTTGGTAACAAACATTTTTAGTCTAATTATTCAAACTTGATCTACTTTTAATGCCGGTCATTTTCTACTTGTTATATTACTAAATTCATTTGTTATTTGTAGTTATAACTCATTAAATCTACTCTGTTATAGTTGCCGGAATGCAGACATCAAGGAATAAGAGATTTTACCAGAAGAATTAGTTTACTCGGTAAAGATTAAGGGTGCAAATCTATGTAAGAACAAATAGAAAATATAAAGATATATTTTTTTAAGTGAATGTGGGAAAAAGAATAAATTGGCATGTGATAGACAGTATTACACAGGTAATCGAAAATTTGATGAAAACATGATCTCATATTTCTTTTCACTGTATTTTTAATTTAGTCAATATTTGACACTTAGCTTCAAACATTTGTTGAGAAAGATCTTGTGATTGGAAACATTACTGAAGCTGGTAACTGTGGCACCTCTGATTAGCGGGAAGTATGTGTAAGTCACAGAACGCAAAATTGTAGACTTCAAAACGTCGATGATTATCCAAGTAGTTATCTATGTTAGTGAGTTACTAATTGTGTGCGACGATTACGATAAATCAAGGATAAACTAATTTCACATTTTAAATTTCCTAACTGATGTAGTTAGACCACGTAAATAAAGATTTTATTATAGAAAACCAAGTAAAGGTTTAAAGTTTATAGATCTAGTTCACAATCCACGAACTGATTCTCAATTTGCAGTTTGCACATTTCGAGCGGTGAGCTGGACGTAAAATGAACGAAATGGCTATCCGCTGTTTGGATCACTTCAGTCTGGTTAGAAAGCACTACTGGTTAATGTGAGTGGTACTGAACTACTCATATCAGGCATTAGTACCTAGCATTATATATTCAATAGCCTGAGAAATACGTTACGAAAATGTTAACGTTGTAACGTAGGTAGTAACCATGAACGAATATCCGTTTTAAGGAAATTTACTTCTCACTAAATCCTGCAAACTTGAAAAGGTTCGCACACTAGTTAAATTTCATATGGTAAAATCAATTCACACACAGTATGAGTTTAGATTCATCAGTATCTTACTGAGAAATATTTGCTTAATTTTATCAGCCTTTTATTACAATTTCATTTTCTAATTGATGAAAATGTAGACTCAGACATTCTTAGCAAACTTGGCATTTGAACCTAATTTCCCCCTTTCGATATGTATAAGGCAACAAAAACACGTGGTTACTTGAGATTTGTGAAGATAATACTTTCATTATTACCTCCGAATGGAAACGGTTAAGGCAAAGTTAGTCAGTGTCTTTTACATTCGAAAATAGATAATTCCAACTGAATTCCTGTTGAAATGTTCCTAACAAAATATCTCGAAAGATTTACATCTAATGACAGGACCTCATCATTCATCTTAAGGCTGGAATTTAAATAAACAGGTATAGCTTTTTCTGGATGAAGAGATTACTGTGTTTTGAAACGTATAAAACTGTATGCAATGTAGTGAAAAATAGTTGTACGAATGAATTCGATTTCCCAATCTAGATGTTCTTCATAATAGATTGATTTCGGCGATGATTCTGGTGGTGAAATTGCTTTCATGGTAGTTGGCAAATTGAAATATCGTTTCCAAGACGTTTTGTTTTAAACTAATGAGATTACAGTAATGGAATTCACCGTATCAAATGTAGAGTGAAATGGCTTTTAAAGAAACTTTTTTTGATCGGTTAAGGGAATAAAAATCTACCTACTTATCACTAGATGCCAACTGAAGCTGATACGCTCATCTTAATAGTTATTTGGTTTAAAAGTGTACATAATAAATAATTGACAAAATAATTCTATAAATTGTGTCTAGCAGCGATAAACGTAAAATGTGATAAATTATCTTGAGGCATATTTCCAGAGGAGGAAATTATTTCTGAATAAATTAAGTTTATTATAACCTCTGGAAAAGCTTTCCAAATGCATCTCAAAATGCTGTTTGAAAATTGTAGATAATACTTTGATTTCAAAGTGTAATATGAATAAGTGATTTACCGAGGTAACTTACGTGTATTAATAAAACTTTTCAGCAGCCAGAGGCAAATAAACTAATTTTACTGCTTTTATTTAGTTTAAAAGAATTCCTTCAAATGTTACAACTAATTTATACTTATTTTATCATCCAAGTTCAACATATGGAAAGAAGTATTTTCCGATATGAATTTAAAACAAATGACATCTGTAAATGAGGCGGGATTTTATGGCAGAGAACCTGTAACACCAGTGTTTGGGTGCCTCAACAATCTGGGAGAAAACCGGTTGCCAATTCTTGGCACGTCGGAGTGTGTATAACTTTGGTCGTGTTTATGGAAGAAATGCATAGATCGTACAGAAAGAAAATCCTCTACTCCCATGATGGAACATTTGACCGAGTGGCCGAAAAAAGTTGATGTCAAAGCACTCAAAAGTTCAGTATCAAAAGCACCTTGTAGACTATGGATATGATATTGACGTTTTGAAGTCATTCACTGTTGTCAGCAGACAACAAAACCGAAAGATACCTGAAGTTAGGGAGGCCTGTTCAATTAGAATATTTTAACCTGGTCTCTTTTTCGATCGGACACTAGTCAGTAATTAGTGTAATTTGTGTGTCTAGTGTTATCTTTGAGGCAGACTGAATTCTATCAGCCACGTTTACAGTGTGACCTCCATGCTAGGTGGCTCGCCATCACGGTGCACTGTGAACTGTTGGCATTCGATGGTTGGAGGCAATCGGCAGTAAGCCTTGGACTTAGGTTTCGTGCTAGTTGGCACTCACCAGTCAGCAAGGCGTATCTGCAAACTTGAAGGAACTCATGTTCCTTCTGAGATTCGAAACTGCGTCACCCAGTGCTGCAGTCAGAGACGTTACCATTGAGCTATTCAGTAAATAGTCAGTAACTAGTGTCCAAACAAAAATATCCGATGCAGTCCTACAGGAGGTCGATCGTGAGCCTGAATAGCTTAGTGATAACATCTCTGACTGCAGCACTGGGTGACGCAGTTTCGAATTTCAGAAGGAACATGAGTTCCTTCAAGGTTGCAGATATGTCTTGTCGACTGGTGAGTGCCAACTAGCACGAAACCTAGGTCCATGGCTTCCTGCCGATTGCCTCCAACTATCTAACGTAACCTCGTCTCTGTCTACTAAAGGAAATGGTGGTTGCTTTGAATCTGCCATGGTAATATCTCTTACTTATTAGCTGTTATCAGTATTTGATTCTATCTCTTATTATTGTTCTTTTACTCATTTAAAACTATCTTTTCTCACTACACTTATCTTAACTCACACCATTTTTATTATTGTTATTATTACTAGTATTCAGTTTGCAATTCCTAACATTTTAAGCTCTTTCTCTGATAGCTTGTTGTTAATTATAGTGATGTATATGGACCGTAATCCATCATAATCCTAATTTTATTCTCACACCCTTTCCCCTTAATCTATCTGAACTTGACCTATAAAATATCAGCATCTCTCGTTCCGCATGATTGATTCCCTGTTTATATATATATATATATATATATATATATATATGAGAATGTGCACTTTGCCACCAATAATACTTTGCCGACGAGGACTAGTTTGCGTATTTAAAGTAGATAAAAGTTAAATGACGATAACACGATGCTGTAGTAAAATTTCTATTCAACTTATAATAAAGAAATTAGCTGGGATTTTGCTGAAATATGTTACATCTTTAGAAGAGTTACCTTAGAAACACTTCAAATGTTTCACATCATCGTTTTAGAATAGCCTTAAATTTAATATGCATATATACACCAACTCAGCTAGTTGCTGTAGTATTTCGTGAAATATTTTTGGAATACATTCAAAGTTATATACTGAAGGGGAATAATAAATTATTTATCACTTCCGTGTTTTAAAATTCAAAGCTCAATAAAGCGATGTCATCTAAGAAAGAATATTCTCACAGTTATACATTATTTTTTTACAAACACTTAATTATTTGAGGAAAGAAGGATTTTAATGAGTTAGTAGTCGATTTATTTATGATTGGAAAATCAGCTTCACTCGTAAGCATAAAATCATGATGCTTTGGTGCATATTTCTGCCCTGAAGTAGACGTGGAAACGAGAGTTGATGCACAAATGATTCCTCATTTAAGCACGATAGAGTGTGGCAGATTATTATTATCATAATCATCATACTTGAAGTTAACTCTTCCACCATCCACCTTATTTTTCTTATTTCTCTTGCTGATGATGTAGGAAAATGACTTATAATCAACTAACTTTAGGTGATGCTTTTAAATCATTCTCTTTGTTGTCATCGTTAAGCCTAGATATCATGTAAGCATGACACTACTGAAGGACAAGAATGGCAAGATATTGATACATAGTATTTGTTTTCCAAGCAATTAGGTGTGTTTATTT